CTTCGTGAGGTTGCAAGGTTTTTCTGGAGTCTAGGGCCAAGACATATCTTTTTCATTTGCCTATTTACACTGGGTACGTATACTGTGCAGACAACATGGACAGAAAATAAAAGTTTGTTTTGGAAATGTCCATCTCTGAGCATTGAAAAGGGGCTGTCACTTTGGAAGAAGATCATTGGAGTGGAGGGAGCCAAAGTGGGAGATGGTCCAGGTAAGTAGGATATTCCCTCCTTGGTCCTCCACTACGTATATAACAGGAAATTCTTCCATGGCTTTATCAACTGGATGCGTATCTTTATTTAAATAAAGGGTGCAGTGTGTGTCTGTTCAATCATAGTAGGGCGAGAATGGGGCTGTCTGTCGGCAGGTGTGCAAGCCGTGAGTGTACTAGCTTGTTTGTGAGGGATGTGAGTTTTAGGCAGATGAGGAGAGCTCCCACTCAGGCCACCAGCTCCTATTGGAAACCCCATGGGTAATCTAGTTGTAAAATCGAGTTTATTTGGGTTCAACTCAATTTTCCAACTTTGCCTGTTAACAGATACAGAGACTGGCAGACAGAAAGTTACCCGGCTGGCTGGAGCCTCACCCACATTAATATTTTGCGGTAGCATGTCGAGTCTGGTGGGAGTTCTGAGTGAGGCTCAGGGCAAGGTGGGTGGCAGAGTCCACAGAGAGGAGAACAGACCAGTGTAGGGATTTTGTTTGGTTTCCCTTCAGCTGTCCCAGCTGGCAATATGTATGGCAGGTTTACCTGCACAAGGAAGCTGTGTAAAAGTCGAGTCAGAGTGGCAAGTCAGCTCACTCCGTTATCCACCTTGGGGTTAACACTCTGGTCCCTAACTTTGCCACTTTTCCTCCTGCCGCAGGGCAGAGGGAAGAGGGAGGACCAGCGTCAGGATCCCAGGGACTGGCACATGCTAGCCCTGGAGTTGTAGGCTTTAGCTCCCCCCCACCACAAGTCAGCCTCCACCCTCACTGTGAGGGCTGCGGTAGATGGTGACCTTGTCAGTAATAAAAGTAATCTGAAGTGCTTACCACAGCTTTTCTGTGCAGAGGAGATTTCTACCCACTCTTCCCCTCAAACCCACGGGTAAAACAGGAGATTATAACGTTGTCTAAACACACACAGAAACTTGTCCATGGGCGCAGCCATCCTCTGGTGTTTTTCTTAGGATGTTCTCCAGCCCTAGGTGCACTTCTGGGTAGTCCACAGAAAGCAGATCCTGGTCAGAGAGAAATAGGAAACCTCTCTGACTATCGGGAGAGAGACTGTGTTCTTGGGGGACTTAGGTGTGGGCTACTGGGAGGAGAGTGACCCGGGGGCTCTGGGCCTGTGTAGAAGGTACCAAGAATTCAAACTGGAATGGGACTGGAGCCCACTCCCCACCCTGCCCTCTCTAGATGCCAGAATGCCACATGCTGAGTATTTACTTACTCTCCTCCAAGGCTTGGCTGGTTTCAGTGGAGTAGTTAATATTTAATGCAGCTTTGGATGGGTAGTCCTAATGATAAGCTGTGCATATTTCTTAACCCATTCCCTCCACCCTTTAAGCCTCCAAAAGAGGTCAAGGGTTAAAAGATACCAAGCTCTCACCTTGAATGTTTTGTTTCTTGGGCTTCTTATCAGGTAGAAATATCAGGTTTCAATGACTGCCCTGAAATAGCTCCCAAGTTTCAAAGTTGTAAAGTTGTTGTGAAGAAATGCAGCCATCCAGGTCCTGCCAAGCTGGGCGGAAAGGTGGGAAGAAGAGAATTTTTTTTTCTTTAATCGTCCAAACTCTTTGGGTCCGAAAATTTGATGTGGAGATGAAGTGCAAGCACTTTAGGGTTCATTCGTCTTTGATTTTTTCAGATTCAGATTCATCTCTGCGGTGATTATGTAGTGCCTGGTGACATGACCTTCAATGGCATTGGGTGTCATTTCTTTACTCTTTGGAAATATCTGTCTGTTTTTGGAGCAATAAACTGGCCTAGAAGCATACAGCTAAGCCAGATAATTTACAGGACTTAAGGTATGAAGTAGAAGGAGAGGATGATCTCAGGGCCTTCGGTACTTTGTCAGGGGTAGCCAATGACACTTCTTTGGGTACATGCCACTCTTGCATCTGGACAGTCCTTGAGATGCCCTCTGGAGGTCCCGGGATCCACAGGCTGCCCTTTGCATGCTGTTAAAGGTCATTCCCTACTTCCTTTAGGAAGAGGTAGTGGAAAGAGCCCCAGCGTTCTCATCTGTAAAATGAAGAAAATGTCACACTAGGCTGCAGGTTATTCTAAAGCTCGAACTCGCATACCTGTAAGCGATAGCATGCTGTGCTCTTATGAAGAAGGGCTATTCTTCTTGTTTTTATCTCTTCTAGCCATTTTGGGTCCTGGTAGAAGGGTTCCTGAAGTGAGAGTATGACAGGCTTCTCTGGGAGGAAGGAGAGGCTAGCAAACCACTATAAAATCTGAAGTGGACTTGGAAGAACAAGGATAGTAATTTTCTATGAAAAGAAGAGGCAGCATCACTCACCCATGCATAGAGAATATTATATTAATTAATATTAATATTAATTGATTAATATTAATATAAATATTATAATTAATATTATATTAATTATATTAAATACGTACTGCCCCAATTTTATGGATAAGAAAACTGGGGCTGAAAACTAGACCCTTGGATCTACACTGGCTTCTTGAAAACAAGGCCTTTGTCTCGTATAGTTTTTCACTCTCAGTGTCTCTAAGTGTTCATAAATGTTAGTTTAACTGAAAACATTGCCCAAATTTCTGGAATCACATATTATTTGGGAAATAAAATATTTAAGAAAAAGTTTGCAATAGTAGGTTAGAAGCCAAGAAGAAGCCTTCCAACAGCTCAACCCAATAGGCACTAGAATGGATGACAAGTTTATTCATGCAGCATTGTTTGAATGCCTCTTCTCTGTCTAGGCCTATGAGAGATAGATCTCCTTTGCCGTCATGGCCTCAACCCTATAAAATCTTAAGAATGGTCTAGTATCCTCTGATTCTGGCCAGTTGTCAGTGAAGTGGATAGCTGGGATGACTGACCTTCATCCACATAAACTCTCATTTTCTTCTCAATGTTTGGATATGCGCAGTGATTAAAGCAATCTACTGCTAACTGAAAGGGCAGCAGTTCGAAACCACCAGTGACTCGTGGGAGAAAGATGTGGCAATCTGCTTCTATAGAGATTTACAGCCTTGGAAACTCTACGGGGTTGCTATGAGTTGGAATTGACTTGACGGCAGTGGGTTTGCCTTTTTTTTGAGGGGAGCCCTAAGAGATATATCACCTCATGTTGATTTATCATGGAATTTCTTTGATGTCCCTGCCTCCTCTATTCCCCCTCCTATCTCCCAATAGGCTCTGGACCTTTATGAAGCACGTGTGTTTGCTTCACTAGCGACCTTCCCTCTTCCTTTCCCAGTGCCCTGCCCCTCCCTACCTGCCCCACTTGAGGAGTTCCATATGGCCCTGTGCTTACCAGCTCTGTACGATTGGCAGGCTGACTCACCTAGCCTGGCCCCAACCTGACTTTGGCACTAGAAACAATTCTTGCAGAAGCCAAAGAGACGCTTGCCCATGTATCCAAACCCCGAGCCCCCCAGATCTCAACTAGAATATATTTTCCAGGATGCTTTACCTAGTATTGGTGGGGAGAGGAGGAGAGATGCTGGAAAATATAACATGGTGTTATCGGGAAAATATGGATTCACAACCAGGCAAACTATATTCTAATACTAGCTCTGCCCCAACTCTCTGCTCCACGTTGGAAATATCTCTTAATCTCAATTGTTTTAGAATTTCATTTTAACATAGAGGAATCGTTCCTGGCCTTCCCAACACTAGTGGAGTGTTTCCCACGAACAGGCATATGAAAATGCTTGGGACTTTCAGAGGAAAGATAACACTGCCTTATCAGCTTCTACTATTGTCACAATGACCTAGAAATTTTTTCCCTGTGGAGTTGGATTTAGGGGGGAAGCGACATAGCACATTTCTCTGGTTTGTTTGACACAGGCTGGGGAACCTCATTGGGAATAAGTGCAATAACAGAGCGGGTGGTACATGAGAAGGAGCTTGAGTTTATGTCAACATTCCAGCTGCCATGAACATGTCTCCCAGGCTAGGGAGGTGATGATTGTGGCTGTGGTTTGTTGTGACGATGTTGGTTATGTTGACTCTGATAGCAACTAACAATCACAGGGCTGTGCACCGTGCAAAGTTTTGCATGGAGTATTTCCATATATTCACATGACAACCTTGTGAGGTAGGTACTATTAAGGGCCCTGTTCCTTCTCTCAAACCTATAGTTTCCCATTCAACCAGAAACCTCCCTTTCTACACTGTTGTTTCCTTTGCTTCAATTTAATGTGATCCTCAGTGGATCTTGTCTCTTTCTTATTACAAGGACAGTAGTAGTTATTCATTTATTCGTTAAGTATTTGAATATTTACTACCAACTAAATTGTGGTAAGTATTCTCTCATTCAAAGGTAAACTTAAACAGTAATTTGCCTCAAGTTGCATAACTGTAAATGCCTGAACTGGGAGTTGAAACCAAATCCAACTACCTCCAGAACCCAAGCTATTAACTCCTATCATGTTAATTGTTTATAGTAATGAAAATGTAGGTTAAGCTCCCTCATTTAGAGAAAAAAGTGACTTAAGTGATGGGATCGCCTTTCTCACTAGACTCCTCTCACTAGACTCCTCTCCACACCTGAGTCCTCCCTTCCGCATGTGTCTGAGCTAGCTTATGTGTCCTTGCATGCAGGCCCGGGGCTCGGGCAATGGCGGTTCATGGCCCCCTTCCAGCTCTCTGCTTGCTTGGTGTCCCTGCTGCCATGCTGCTCCAGGGCCTGGGCAGAGCCTTGCGAGAGCCTCTGCTCACACGTGGCTTTGATTCTTCTCTTTTCAGGCCCGGTCTGGGACATTCTTCGCTTCTCTTCACTTCCCCTCTGGGAGCCCCTTCCTGCACCTTGCTTCAGGCGATGCCTGAGAGGGAGCTGTGGCCACCGGGGCCTGGCTTGGAACCCGTGACCCGAATCGGCAGCTGTGACAGCATGATGAGCACCACTTCCACCCGCTCGGGATCTGTATGTACTCTGTCCTGCAGCCTTGCATGATCTCTGCACACCTGCCCAGCCCTGCCCTTCCCTGCCCTGCTCTACCACCCCATCTTGCTCACTGCACCTTCTCTTTCATCTTCCTGGTCAGAGAGTGAATCACAGCATCAGTTGGGGCTTTCTTCCTCTGAGTCGCCTCTTGTTCTATAGAGAATAAGGTGGGTGGCACCACTTCAGAGAGCAATGGTACAAATGAGACTTTTTTCCCCAACTTTCATTAGGTTGGGGGGAATTGAGTGGAAGTGAGAGGGCAGGGCAGTGATCTGAGATTGTGGTGGAAACTGGACATAGGTTCTTGTAGCACATGGATTCCTGAAGTTTTCTGCAGTGAGCATCATTACTTCAGTCTTATACAAAGATCAAGAGGAGTGAAGTAATTAAGAGCCTGGGTTCAAGAGTCAAACAGATCTGGTTCTCTACTTATAGCTATATGACCTGGGGCAAATTACTTAACATCTCTAAGCTTCAGTCTCTTTTGTGTTAAAATGGGGGTAATATTAACGTCTCAGTCATAGAGCTTTTGGAGGAGTCCTTATGTAAAGTACTTGGCACATACCTCTATGTAGAAAAGAAATAGTCTGTCTATGAACACAGGCAAAGATTCTTCCCAAGTCCCTGTGTTTAACTATTTGTAAATGATATTTAACAAATTGTAATTTTACTGGACATGAATTTGAATTTCAGATGTTTTAAGGCTATAAAAGAGCAAATCTACCCAAATCTACATCTAAACTTTCCTTTGCTGTTCATACATAATAACCTTTAAGAATTTACACTTTATTGTTTTATGTTCTGTAGAGGTATTTAAAAATTTAAAGATTATAAAGGTTTCTACTAAATGTCAAGGATATTTAATATAGTCAGTGGGTTATAATCTATAAAAATAGAATGGAAAAAGCAGCATAAAAAAAATCCAAAGAGTAGACAACCTGTATATAATTTCTTTCTGATTGTATATGATGGGCCCACAGAGACATCTTCCTGTTTCTATTAGGCTGAAGTCAACCTGAATAGTCAGATACCATTGACACAGAATGTGGCAAGGATTAAAGGTTTTCAAATTGAACCATCACGAAGGAGAAATTCAGAGTTGGCTTATCTATGGCAAGGATATTTTAGGAAGAAGAGGGCGGTCCAAAGACTACCTTTGTTCAGGAAGCCCCGGGAATTGCCTTGGGGCTTCCTAGACCTGTATTTGAGGTGTAGGCCTCAGTCAGTCAACTGACAGATACCTCTCTCTCTAAAGGGCCAGGAGATATTATTCCCACATCTGCCTCCCCCAGCTCTCAGGATTTTTTAAGGCTGTCTCAAAATCTTTCCTGGCCATCTAAGTGAGTCTAGAGATATACAACTCTGAGGTGTCCCAAATATTAGGCAGAGGGGTGGAGATGGCAGCAAGGGACACAGGCCAAATTTCTTTTATTCCCATTTCCTTTTTGAGTTCTCTTCAACCTCTTCCTTTGGGGAGCAGCTATTCCATGGTTTTTCCTGGACTGGTGGAGCGTGGGCAGTAACCATCTGAGATGGTCATTGCCTTTTCTTCCAAATATTGCTATGTGCTTTCTCATTACAAAAAGTATCTACTCTGTGTTTGTGTGTGTGTGTGTGTGTGTGTATGTATATATATATATATCTCTAACACTAAGTTGCTTTCCCCTCCTCCTATATCCATCTGGTTTCTCCACCCACCCCTTTAAGTTAATATTTGCTTAAGAAATTAGCCAGAGTCAAATGCCATCAAGAAAGTAAATATGCAAGGGGGAAAAAATCCAGTATGGAATGCATTTCAAAGTCAAGTATAAATTATTTAGTAAATTGATTTGTTCCCTTTGGCGTGGTAGCCAGTCCTTGACTGCATTTCCTGTTTGTTCTCATACTGTCCTTGACACACCAGATCAAGTATGCAAAAGTACTTTGAAAAATTAAAAGCAACACCATTCAAGTTTAAGCTCAAATCATTATAAGCCCATTGCCATTGAGCTGATTTCCAATTCATGGTGACCCCATGTGTATTGCCCATATATTTTGGGGCTAAAAAGGAGACACACCAAGTGACATACTTGACGACGGTCATAAGGAGAAATTGGGATAGAATTTGGGACTGTTCACCCAGGACTGAACAAAAGAAATGTCGTTTGCCATCTTCCTGCCCAGCTACCAGAGCTGGGTGCTAGTGGGATAGCCCAGCAGTCTCTACTACCCTCCCCAGGTGCCTGCAGTTTCAGGAAGCAACTCCAGCAGGTTTGCGAAGTAGAACAGTGGAGACATTTCCAGCTCTTCAGCATTCCTTCTCCACAGCAGGGTGGTTCTCAGGCCCTGCCAGTTTCTTCAGAGCCACGGGCTCCTTCTCACAGCTCCCTCTCCCTCTTGTCCTTCCTCTCCTCCCCTTCCCCTCCCCATTGGTTGCAGAGTGACAGCAGCTACGACTTCCTGTCTGCTGAAGAGAAGGAGTGTCTGCTCTTCCTGGAGGAGACCATTGGCTCACTGGACACAGAGGCTGACAGTGGACTGTCCACAGACGAGTCTGAGCCGGCCACAGCTCCCCAAGCTGCCTGGGCGCAGCCCCTAACCCAGCCTGCTCCCCAGGGTAAGAGAGACTGTCCAGGCTAGCACCTCCAGTCAAACCCAGAAAATCCATGCACCCTTCCCGTCACTCTCCACCTCACCTGCACTCCGCTCCAGGGGTCACAGGCAGAGCAAGAAACAATTCACTCCCCACCACTCTCCTGGCTAGAGTAAAGCCTTGTCTCTGGAGGGAAAGAGGGACTGCTGACATGCCAGCTTCCTATGTCTTTCCATGAAGTATCAGAGGCATGGGTGGGGAAGGGGTTTGACCAGCTCCCATCCTCTCATGAAAAATTCTAGAGAGATGACCACACAGGTCGGGGAAGAAGGCAAAGAGGGGTGGGTGGTTGGCTCTGGAGAGACTGAGTCAGTCTTGGGAGCTAATCTGGGAGACCCAGAGAAGAGGCTGCAGGAGATAAGGAGGCCAGAGAAGGGCTCCTTTAACTGCAGTGGGTGGTACCTTGAGGCCCTCCTGAGAGTATGGAGAGCCCAGAGGGTTCAGGAACACTGGAGTGATTACAAGACCCTGCCTCCCAGGGGTGGGGCACTTTACCCCTGAGGGAAGTCCCTGTGTATTCGGGCTGTAATCATTTAGTCATTCATTTAGCAGGTATTTATTGACAATATGTCAGATCCTCCCTGAAGATAGAGCAGTAAATGGGACAGGGGGCTTCTCTGCCCCTTGAGGCTGATTCACTGGCCCAGTGGACTTGAGACGAGTGCTACCCCTTTAAGAGCAAAGAGAAAAAAACATCCTTTGCTAGTTTGAGATCAGAGTTCAGGGAGTATTTGCCTTTCTCTGGGCAGCAGGGTTCTCACCTTTGCCTGCTATTCTTTGTCCTCCTGATTCTCACAGCACATCCAGAGGAAACAATCTTTCCGCAAGCACCAGAGCCAAGGAGAGACACTCAGTCCAGCTCATCCCATACCTCTGAGCCCCAAGGCCTGGGCTTCAGGTCTGGCTCCCAAAGCCTCCCGAGAAATATCCACATTGGCAGAAACCAGAAGCCCAGGAAAAGCACCGCCCAGGCTAACAGCCACATCCCTGGAGAATCTGAGGAGCTTGTACCAGAGCCTGCAAGCAAGGGGGCCAGCCAGAGCAGTAAGACCGTCCTGGCACCCAGCAGACCCTGGGAGGCTGCGCTTGAGTTGGACGTGGTGCTCATCCCCCCACCAGAGGCCTTCCGGGACACCCAGCCAGAGCGGTGTGGAGAAGACATCCTGCCCAAGGGGCCAGGGCAACTGAGAAGCACACCCCAGCTCCACACATCCTTCAGTCCCCAGAAGAGACAGGAGGCTTCTTCAGAGGCCATGTCCCAAAAAGCCAATGAGAAAGTCTCAGTGGGTGGCCCAGGACAAACCCAGCCTCCTCTTGCCTTGTCATCTCAGAATGCTAGAGCTGAAGATCCTCCCCTCCCGTCCAGTGGGGATCCAAGTGCCTGTCTGGCACCCCTCACAGCACCTAAGCCTCGGAAGCTGCCACCTAATATTTTTCTGAAGAGCAGCCGAAGCAGTTTCCACAGTAATCCCCAGAACTGGCTGTCCCGCCACTCTGAGGCAGCCCCTAGAGATTCTGGCCTGGTCTCCTCTTCACTACAGCAGCAGAGGAAAGCACGCAGAGAAGCACTGGAGAAGCTGGGGCTACCCCAGGACCAAGACAAGCCCAGCCTCCGCTTAAGTAAGCCCACCAGCTCCCTCAGACTCAAGGAGCCTCCTGCCCAGGCCACTTCCCTGGCTCCAGCTCCAGCTCAGGGACCAGTGAAGGCTCCAGCTCCAGCTCCAGCTCCAGCTCCAGCTCCTGCTCAGGGGTCCTCTCCAGGGAAGGTTTTGATTCCTGCTCTGGGCCCGTCTCCAGGGAAGGCTCCAGCTGCCAAATCCATGCCAATTCCCATCCCTAAGGCCTCGAGTGCAAGCAGTTCCCTGACTCAGCCAAAGCCTGACTCAGGGCTGACCCTCCAGGAGAGCAAATTTCCTGGCCTGAGACAGATGAACTTCAAGTCCAAAACTCTGGAGCGTTCAGGTGTAGGGCTGAGCAGCTACCTCTCAGCTGAGAAAGACTCCAACCCCAAAACCAGCTCATCTCTGGAAAAGGGCTCCTTCTTGGACAAGACCTCACCTAGCGTCTTGCGTAATTCCCGGCCACGCCCCGCCTCATTGGGCACAAGGAAGGATTTTGCTGGTATCCAGGTGGGCAAGCTGGCTGACCTGGAACAGGAGCAGAACTCCAAGCGCTTCTCCTACTCAGGACAGAGCCGTGACAAGCTGCCTCGACCCCCCTGTGTCAGTGTCAAGATCCCCCCAAAGGGCGTCCCTGATGAACACAGAAGGGAGGCTCTGAAGAAGCTGGGACTGCTGAAGGAGTAGGCCCTGGCCACCAGCACTCCCAGCAACCCTACCACATACAAGAAGGGAGTCCGGGCTCCACTTAGGAGCCTCTCCCAACTCCCAACTCAGGGCTTGGGCAAGGGTGGGCTTCTCTCAGATGTTCTCTTCTCTGTGAGGTGAAGGACAGAGATTCAGGTCAAGCATGTTTTTATATTCAGAGAGGTTGTTCCAATGAGTGCCCTCATGAACTCATCCTGAAGATGATTTCCCACGACAGGTGTGTGTGTGTGTGTGCATGCACATGTATGTATATCATAGCTATATATTTTCCTGAACGTATTTATATAACACAGGGAGTTCTTGCTCAGAATTCTGCTCTTATTGGAGATTTTCTTACATTGGGTGGCCTTCATTCTAGCCAGAACTGAGTGGGGAGGGATGGCTAAGCCTCAGGAGAAAAAACAAATGAGGCAATCGATGTCTCACTTATGTGAAAAAAGAAGTCAGGCAAATGTAGAGTCACATGAAATGAGGGTCTCCCAGAATCCCTGCAATGGGCTTCCTACCTCCTGGACAGGGGCCTGGGGCCAAGATGGGTTGGTTTTTTAACTCTTCACCCACTGTCCTCTCACTGTCCCTAGTACCAAGGACAAGCCACATCCATGTAACTAAACCTCTTGGCTGACTGATAGCAGAGCAGTGCTTGTTGGTCTGAGAAGGCAGGATAGTGACCCCATAAGCACACCTCCCCCTCACTCAGAGAGTCTTTGCCCATTGGCTGGATAAACTCAATAATAAAATGTACTGTGGTCCATGGCTTCTAGTCTTTCTGCTCTCTTATTCCTTGCCTCAGTCTGCACATGGCTGACCCCTAGGCTGGGCCGACAGTGAGATGGGAGCCCCGCCGAGAGGCTTTCTAAATACTAAAACACTGTCTCAGGCCTCACTCATTCTGTTGCAGGTGGTTCTTAAACGTTCCCAGACTCTCTGGCGGAAATTCAACGCAACACATTCTCTGCTGGTTGTTCATTGACTCTCGGAGCTGGGAGGGACCTTAGAGATGATTGTCTCCAACCCTGTTAGAGAAGGGAAGCCACTCATCCCCGGTGACTCTGTCATTTAGTGACAGAGCTGAGGCTGGAACCTGAGCTCCTAAAGCCCACAGCATGCTGCACGTGCTGCCTCCCCTCACCCAGGGGCTTTTGTAGGTCCACACAGAACCCTAAGAATCTTTAGTCATTATCAAAGACTCAATCCTAAGGCCCGTCAAGGTCCTAACGTGTTTCGTGAAGAATCAGAAATTAAACGTTGTTCAGGATAATATTTAGTGTTTTTTTTTAATTCAATCTTTGAAAAACAGCAATATAGTAACGCTATTAACCAGAACACCCCTCCCCCTAATTCCCTAAGTTGTGCAACATGAGAAAATGCCCAAAACAGGTAATATGGTTTGGTGGTGTGGGCTTGTGAATACAGGCTTGGGGATCAGACATGGCTAGGCATGACCCCGGCTTCCCCTGAGGAAATGTCTTATTTATGGTGTGACCTGGCTGGAGTCCAGGATTTCCAGATGTGAGGGTCAGGTAAAGGGAACGGTTGTTGGAAGGATGCCCTTTAGATCTGCGGAGAATTCCATGCCGTGTCCTTAGGGACCCAGCACCGTCAAAGCTCCGTATTTCTGAAAATGATGAGGAGGTTAAGGAAAAGATAATAAGTGGCTCCACCTTGTTGTGGTATGTGGGATGTGGCTGTGACAGTTTCTATGTACACTCTTTTGCACACACTCACACCCAAAAAGTGTGGTACCTTATTCCTGGCCCTTGGGGGAGGACCTGGTCTGACACAGCTGACGGGGATGTCTACAACTGACCAAACTATATCTTTTTAAAGACTCCCTAAAGAGAGAAGGCACCTTTCTGGAGGAGGACTGATCCAACATGCTGTATTTGAGCTGATTCATGTATGTATTTCAAGACACTACGTGAGGTGCAACCACTTTATTCCTTACTCATTAATTCCCTAATTAATAGAGAAACCTAAGACTACCTGTGAAGTAAGACTTGGTAGGAATCTGGGGCCCTGGCAATAAATAACAAGGCCCAGTCTGCTTAGGAGTAACCAACCAAGTGACCCCAGGTGTGTCAGAGTAGAACTGTGCTCCATAGAGTTTTCAATGGCTGATTTTTCCGAAGTAGATCACCAGGCCTTTCTTGGGTGGTGCCTCTGGGTAGACTCAAGCCTTCAACCTTTTGGTTAGCAGCTGAGCGGTAACCATTCTGTGCCACTCAAGGGCTCCTGGTCAGGAGTAAGTCCAGTTAAATCCTCACCCCCTGGTAAAGGTAGTTTCTCTCCCAGACAAAGCAGAGCTACACCCAGCCTGCATCTTTCCACTCTGTATCCTCATTGCCGTGAAGTGCCGTTTTCCCAATTCTCCTGACCTCAGAAACTCTCTTTCCTTGTTATTTAAAGATACCATGTTTCCCCATGTCCTCATCCTTCAGACAAAGAGCATGTTCTGCCCTAAGGATGCTCTTTGAGATTTAAGAATAGAATAATAAATCCAGATCTACTTGTCCTCATTTGGAAGAGGGGCAAGGGGGACCCAAGAGGACACCCAACTACCTGAAGATGAGGCTGGACTCACCTGAGGTAATTTAACTATCCTCTGGAATCCACATAGGATTGCTCTGCATTCAGCTTGAACTAATTCATGGGAGGTGAGAGTGGGCTCAGGATTGAAAGCACCCCTTCTTGAAGGATTTTGGATGGAAGTATGTGAAGGCTACTCATTTAATTTTAAAAACCAAAGAGACTACTCTACTTCCACTTGTCCTCAGGTCTCTGCTATACCCTGCCTTAGTCTTGCTCCCACTGGGCACAAACCATCTGCCAAATTCGAGAGCTAGCCTCTCCCCAACCTGGCCCAGTGGGGTCTGTGCCCTGAGATGTGTTGATAGCTGCTCCTCTGAATGACTACTCATGTGCTCCCCTGGGAGTTCTGCACTCAAACAGGCCTACGTGCTCTCCTACACAGAGGCTGGGACAGGCCCAGCCATCTCTTAGGTGCCCTCTTCAGCAGTGGAAAGTATGGTGTGGCAGAGGCTACCATGTAAGGGAAGGCGGGTAAGTGTGCAAAAGTTGATGTTTGTTTCATGGAAGGGAGAACAAATGACGAACTAGAAAGTAGGCCCTATTTGATGTTGCGGTTAGAGCAGGGGGTGAAGATTTAAGACTCTACAGTATATGTAAATGTGTGACATGAACCATTCCATCCCTTGATCCATAATCATACATGTAGGCAGAGAAGGATCATACTGTCAGAATATGAAGCTGTAGGCTAATAGACTAGAGGAGGTGGGGACCAATGTGATGGACAGGAGAAATCATGTCCATTTCAATCAGAATCTAAGGAGGATTTAGACATAATACCCCCGTGATTTTTTCTTACATGACGGTGGAGCCATGTAGATCTGGGTTCAAATTCTACCTCTATCATTTACCAATTGGGGAACCCTGGGAATGCCACTTTCTGCACCTCAGTTTTCTCTTCTGTGAAATAAGAATAATAATACCACCCTTTTGAGATTGTTGGGATGAATAAGTGATATAAACTATATAAAGCTCAGCACTTGACACAATGTAGATACTCAATAAATGATAGTATTATCTTTTATCAAGGGGGAATGTAGAAAGGTTGCAAGCTAAGTGCTCACCCAACTCAGCTCTGAGAGGAAATGAGATTCTCGCTGCAAATAAAATTCCAAAGTAACACCTAGGCTTTGACACACCCTCTAGGTGACTCAGCTTCACCCACACCATGTTTCCTGGAATTTGAAAAGGAGGATCGATGTGAATATGGTGTTTGTGTCTTGGTGAAGGCTGAACCAGCTGTTTCCAGCTTCTGCATCTCCAAACCCAGCTTCCCCTTTATTACCAATCTCTAGCTTCCCAGGACCATGTAATTTACCTCTCTTTAACTTTCTTTTGCTGTGTGGTTCAGGGAAGTATATGCTGTCTGTCATGGTTTGAATTATGTCCCCCCAAAAATGTGTGTATCAATATGGCTGGGCCATGATTCCCAGAATTGTGAGGTTAGCCTCCATTTTGTGATTGTAATTTTATGTTAAAGAGGATTAGGGTGGGATTGTAACACCACCCTTATCCAGGTCACATCCCTGATCCAATGTAAAGGGAGTTTCCCTAGGTTGTGGCCTGAACCACCTTTTACCTTACAAGAAATAAAAGGAAAGGGAAGCAAGCAGAGAACTGGGGACCTCATACCACCAAGAAAGCAGTGCCAGGAGCAGAGCACATCCTTCGGGCCTGGGGTCCCTGAGCAGAGAAGCTCCTAATCCAGGGGAACATTGATGAGAAGGCTGACAGAGGGAGAAAGCCTTTCCCTGGAGCTGGTGCCCTGAATTTGGACTTGTAGCCTACCGGACTGTGAGAGAATAAATTTCTCTTTGTTAAAGCCATCCACTTGTGGTATTTCTGTTAGGGCAGTACTAGATGACTAAGACACTGTCCTGTATTATTATTTATTTTTTAAATGGAGGAAAAATCAGCTTAGATAATAAAATGAGGGAATGCTGGCTAAAATCAGGAAGAGATTGAGACTAGAATAGGTCTCAAGATTTATCAGACATTTTAAAAAAATAGAGTAGGAATCTATCCAGAATGAATCAGGCATGAGCTATCAGAAGGCAAGAAGGTATGTTGGATGACCTGTCCAAGCCCCTTCTGATATAAAGGCCCTATGAATTGCAGGAGTCATCATCATCATCATCACCATCATCAACTCTTAGCATATAAGTGAGGTGAAAACAGATGACATTCTAATTCCAGGCCATCATTTCCTCTTGCTCATCACCTAGCTGAATCATTGTCCTTATTACCCCTTGCCATGTACCCAGAGTTCAAAATAACACTGAAGCAAGATGATGTCCTGGAAAAGCTCTGGCCCAGGTGAGGTTTAGTGTGTTACTTCATCTCATTCATATAATGAAGTGCTTGGACTAGACTGTCTCAGAAATCCATGC